TTCAAAGTGTGACAAAACTTTGAAATGTATCGACGGATGATTTTTAAATTACAATATGTGTTAAACAAATAAAATTTCATATATCCAAACGTTGGGCTGTATTAGCAGGTGAATCGGAAGGTGCACGGTAACTTGAGATGGAATGACCTCGACAATAATAGAGCCTCCTTCCTCTGGTTCGCTGCACGTAACCGTGCAATTATGAGGAGTTAAAATTAGAAGTGGCTGCACACATGCTGCTATCTTGATAATGACTTATTCCTCTACTTCTACTGCAACCGCAGGCCCACGTGTGCACGCTCTCTAAACCTGTCCATCCTGTAATATTATTTTCTTCTGTTGCCAAGGTGTTTCCAGCAAACAGCTGGCTGGTGGCCCTCAGCGCCGGCATGATCAGTAGTGTGGTGGTGGTGCTGGCTATGACTCCTTTTGATGTGGTGAGCACGCGGCTCTACAACCAGCCCGTGGATCATTTGGGCAAGGTGAGCACAGGGGCCAGACTAGGGAAGTATGAAGTGAAGGGAAGATCCTAGCTCACGGCGTGGTTGATATGTTTTCATTGTATTCATCCTCTGTGAATCCCTCATTGTGTCATCTCCCATTTGTGTGGGAGAAATTGTTGGTCGCTTGGCTCCAGGTTTAGACAAGAAAGATTGCTTGAACAAAAATACAAGGTGGGTGTAGAACAAGAACAATCATTCTCTTGTTTTTTAGGGTCAGCTCTATAAAGGATTTACTGACTGCTTTTCCAAAACCCTGAAGAAGGAGGGATTGACGGGGCTTTACAAAGGCCTGGGAGCGTCTTATTTCCGACTCGGTCCACACACCATTCTTTCGTTGTTTTTCTGGGATGAACTGCGCAAATTCTACCAGCCGTTCAGATAACACCCGGGACGAAGACACTGGAAAATGGGTAACTCATTATGTTCTGAGTGCAGAAGGTTAAATGAATCGTCGTTTAATGAGTTTATGATTATCCGGTGGATGGAAACACCTGAAGGTGTTCTAGAGCAAAGGTAATGTTTTACACTCCAGTTAAAAAAACACTTTAGAGTCAAATGTGTCAAGAATGAAGGTGAAAATGTTAAATTATTGAGCTGCTGAAGGATATATTAACTGCACTTGTCACATAGAACCATACAGTATGCTGTATGTCCTCCAGAGGAAATTCAACACTGTACCTTTTCTCTAGCTCTTAAACTCCTGTGTACTGAGGATACGAGGTCAATGTCCTATTTTTATTCTGTGTGTCTGGGAATTAGGAAAATCTGATCGTGATACAAATTCCCCGCAGCAGCCTTGTGCTTGTTTTCAGGTGATGAAGAGTATTCTATACTGTAGCAACATAGTTAATCATTTTGGCCTTTAGCAATTTCCCTCAAGCAACTTTGCCTTTGACTCATTAAAGCCAATGAGAACCAGTTGAAAACCAAAACTTCTTTAAACTTTTTTTAGGTCTATGTGGAGTTTCCTAAACTTTCTAAAGACTGCAAACATGCCAGGCTCAAGTTTTGTGAACTGTATATAATTGTGTGGATGCCCTCAAGGGCATCCACACAATTGAGTTCCTGTTTCTCTTTATTCTTTATTCCACTATTTTATTCTAGTTGCTTCCGTACACTTTTTGGCGCTTAACTACTCCCACAGTTTTTGTGCTATTTTCACCGTTCAAATCTTAAAAAATTCTGCTCTTTCCGCTAAAGTTGAATTTTTTTTGCAATATTTTTTGCCCATTTCTGCCATATTATCAGTGGCCTCACTGATTTTCCTTGCCGGGTTGACCTGTGTTTTAGCTCAGTGAGATAAGCATCTGTTCTCAGACTGGGAGGCCCGGGTTCAAATCCCGCTTATGGCAACATTTCTTTCAGTTCACAGTTAAACTTTTTTAACTCTTTTCAACACAAATTTCAGCTTTTTCACCCCTTTTCAGCAGAATTTTCAGTTTTTTCACCACTTTTCAGCACAAATACCAGCTTTTTCAGCTGTTTTCAGCAAAAACCTCTTTTCAGCAGAAATTCTGCTGATTGAACTCTTTTTAGCAAAATTTTCAGTTTTTTCTGCTGTTTTCAGAAAAAAAAACTCTTTTCGGCAGAAATTCTGCTCATTCACCTCTTTTGAGCGGAAATTCTGCTGATTGAACTTATTTCAGCAGAATTTTCACCTCTTTTCTGCCCAAATTCTGCTTATTCACCTCTTCTGCAAAATTTTCAGCCTTTTCACCTCTTATCAGCACAATTCTCAGCAGCTTCTGCTCATTTCAGCAAAATTGTCAGTCTCTCCACCTCTTCTTTCTGAGAATGAGTTTGGCGCAGTGAGATGAGTAGCCTTGAGACCAGAAGGGCCAGGTTTGAATCCTGCTCAGGGCAACGTTTTTTTTTTCAACTTTATACTTTTTCAGCTTTTTTCAGCAGACATCTTCAGTGTTAAGGCATCCACACAGCATTTTCGCAGGAAATGCAAATTTTTCTAGTTGATCTTTGAGTTTGAGTAGGTCAAATGCATCCTAGAATATAGTTACTGTCAAACAGTATGTGGAGAAAAATGTTTCCCAGCCTTACAAAAGGATAAATATGTAACGTGGTTAAAGGCAACTCTAGGACAAAGGCTTTGTTTCAAAATGACTTCTGCGGTAGACAGATTTCCTCTTTAGGTGAAGAAAGAAAACTCCACTAACATGAAATATTTTAGGCCTCATAAACCAAAGCGAGTATCCAGTGGATCTGCCAAAAAAAAGGATGTGAAAGCCAATGCTCTCCCTAAGCATGTGGTACTGTATAATAGCAGGAGCCGTTACTCTTAATATACACATCAAAGCGGCTCCCTCCATTAAATTAGACAAACAACAACAACAACAAAAAAAAAAACTGCACATTTTTCATTGCCATACATGACACATTTCATAAAAAGTATTGTGTTTAAACACTGATGGAGACTGGCCCCTTTTTTCTAAATGTAAATGGATTTATTGGAGTTTTATTCTATAACTGCACTGGTACATTTGTTGAGTGTGCAAGCGCGGGTTAAAGTATTTCACTGTCATATTAATTTATTTGTGACGTTGACAAAACATTCAAACATTCAATTAATTATTGCCATGAGTTAGAAACCTTACTGCTGCTCTGCTAAAATGTCTTGGTTAATAAGCAAAAATCTGTTGGTGAAGCTAGTTGGTGAATAGTGTGCCTTAATAAATCTTTAGGAATAAAAGCGGTCTATTTTAATATGTTACAGACGTGACGTTTATCAGCTCGTCCACTGACTCCATCTGCTTGAGTTTTGGTTCTATGAAGTGTTCATAATTGAGCCCAACAGTCAGATTGCCATGAAATGGAAACTGTTGGTAACATTTTGCAGTTCCACAAAACTTTGTGAATTTTGATGCTTTCTTAATAAGTGTAGGATGCCCATGATTTTATTTATATGAGCATTATTAGTTATTCCCGACCACCTTTGAATGCAACAGCACAATGTGACATGTAACAAATGTACTGTAGCTCTACGAATAGAGTTCCCTGAAGTTTGTGACAGAAGGCAGGAAACTGTTATTTAAGTTTATTAAATATTATGAAGTTTTGAACTTCAAAAGAATTGAGTTTTGGCAATTTTTCTGTTTTTAAATGTGTTTTTCTTGATATAATTATGCTCATTTGTTCTTTGTATATGGTTCCTTATGGAGTTTGTTTTTTGTTTTTTTTGTAAGGGAACATGATTTTTTATTTTTTTTTATTTTAATTGTTAAGGTGGTATTGATAGGTGTACTGGGCAGCAGTGTGGCATATCCAAATACTGATGGAACAATTTTAGGGTGGATCAAAATATAATGGTGCTGTGGTCTTTGCATGGAGCCCAAAGGGAACATGGATTCTTCCACATCTGTCACTTCAGTGGTTTCATGAGACTTCTGTCAAACAAAAGTTGTGCCAAAAGTTGTGTCATTAACAATTACCAATCCAGCTCGATTTTATTACACCGCAGTTCAATACCTTAGCTTTTAGTTATGATAAAGTCAGATTACAGCAAACTGAGCTGTTTGAATGCAAACCTGTATTTGGACTTTTCTCTACAGTCTCAGTAAATCGAAAGATTAGTTGATAGTTTTAGGAATAAAAACTTTAGAATTGATACAGAGTCCTTGGAATGGGAGCGATTTGATGCTCAAACACTATAAATGCAAAAAACACGTATCAACACTTTTGTTTGGAAATCTTTCAGTTCATTTCTCTGTCTCTATTATACGATATTTGCCAAAGTTTAAACCTCATGACAGTTCTAAAAGTTATGTGTTATCGGTCATTTCATGGAGCAGCTTGGTTCAATTTCATGAATGTTAGAAAATAATTTTCCAACATGGTTTTTTGATATGTGGAATGGAAGTGAAGAGCAAATAAACTCAGACTTTTATTGTCCAACAGTGTGGTGGTTACTTACTTTGTTCAACAGTGTTGAAAATGTAAAATTTCCTGTGTGTTATTCTCAAACTTTACTGCATATGTCTTGTAGTACATTTATGTCATTTTCAAGATTTCCCACCATTGAGCAGCAGCTAGCTGGAGTTTCTTTTCCTTAAAAGAGATGAAGTCACCGCTACATTGAAGAACTGGTAAAGTGATGAAGTTTCCCATCAGCTGGTAGAGAACAGAAAGTGCTGGACAAAATTTCTTAAATGACAATATCGCTCTGCTTGGCAGGTGACTTAAGAGGACTTATGAAGAAGTATGCTAACGTTTTCTAATTGGTAATGTTACAGTAGTTATTACTGGATATTGTTTTTCTGCGTGACTTTCTTTGTGCATGACTGGATGTTAGTTGCACCTCCAACTGGAAGTTAAGGTTAACCTTTCTGTGAATGCCTGATATCATAGTTATGAAAATCACCTGTGTCAACCTGCAACGTGACTCCTACTGCAGGAAGTAGAGATAATTATGTGTACACATATGAAAAGGGCCTTTGGCATAAGGATGACTGAAGGTGGC